GATAGGACGAATGTAAAGCTAATGTTCTCCCATGTAAACTATCACATAATTCATAATAAAACATTTTTTTTTTAAAGTGAGTTTCAATGAACATCACTGTTCACAGCAGCATTATTTTTAAGGACCCAAAAAAGAGAAACAACCCAAATGGCCATCAGCTGAAGTGTGGATAGCATGTTTTTTGCAAGCCACACAACCTTCTTAGATATTAAGTTTTCTGTGTGAGCGATGCACATTGTGTGCGTGCATAGTATGTGTGAAAAATGGTGTAAATAAAACATGGTAAACTCATACAGTGGAATACTGTTCACTCAAAGGAAAGAATAAAGTACTAATACCTGATGCCAAAAAGATGAACCTTGAAAACATGATGCTAAGTCAAGAAGTCAGTCACAAAGAACCAAATGTTACACAGTTCTATTTACTTACTTATTTTCTTCAGTTCTATTAGGGTTTGATTTATGTATTTTGAGACTCTTTGTTAGAAATGTTTTATTGTGAATTGAGTAAAGGTTAACAGATAGAATCATCAACTTTACATTCAACAAATTATGCACTTTATTTCATCTCAGTGATTACGACCCCCTCCCTGCAACGTTATCCTACTTTCTCCCTGTATGTGGCTTCCCTTTTACATCTTATATTTCACAAATGAACAAAGCAAAAATACTTGATGGACCCTTACAAAACAAAAAATAAATATTTGTTTAAATGCCCTAAGGGCATATTCTACAAGCCAGCCTCCTGCCTACAGGCACAAAGCCTTACTCAATTCGTGGGCCTAGAGTCTGCAGCTGCTGTATCTCTCCATGCCATTGCCTCTACCACCATCTCTGCTGTTGCCGCATTTCTAGGTAGGCTCTCACGCTTCGCTCATGCTTTTCCTTGTTGGTCCTGGGATCCTCTTTGTTCCTGAAATGAAAGATTAACTATTCCCCCTTTCAGTTACACATCTTCTACAATTATAATTGTGCAATCACAATTAATCCTCCTAACAATTATTCACAATTGGATCATAAAATTGTATCAGCATTATCCCCCATCCCCTTTCACCAGATCCACCTGGAGAAGAGGAAAACTATTCAGTGGGAATTCTACCTTACCCTCCTCTTTTCTCTGTAGGGCAGACTTTTTTTGTCTTGATGCCCCAAAGCAAACAGCTTCCTTATGACAGCCAAACATTCCACTTTTGTTCTTCAGGTCTTTCTTTCAATAAGATTCTCCTGTTCTCCCAGCAGTTCTGGGCTGGTCTGCATGTCTTTTCAAGTGAGAAGCTGAGTGGGGCTCAGGATTCCAACTAAGGCCCCATACTTTATAAAGAGTTAATAGGAAGCCTGTTTCCCTGAGCAAAGTCTAATTCTCCCCTCAGCAAATCCAGTCAGTTATTGGCTTAAGACAGGTTGCAAGCTTTCTGTAATCACAATTCCCTGTATTCATTTCTATCACACTTAAATGTCTATTTTACAATAGTAGGCAGGGGAAACCAACATCCACAAGATGGTCAAACACCTGAACATTTTATCCCCTCCTTTACCCATTCAGACTATGTCTTGATCCCTGTATCACAGAACACGGTTGTTCCAAGGTTGTGTATTAATTACTATTTACCACTTTCCCATTTAGGCTATGCGTACTTCTCTTAAGGCCTCGTCTATCTTCATTGTTCATCTGCTACCCTCCCTTTTGTGTAGTGCCCTCCGCCTCCTTTTATATTGCCTTCCCTGTCACCCAGGCTAACATGTGTCTGCCCTCTAACCTGTGAATTGCTCTCCATTCACTCCATCCTGTGTAACCATCAAAGAATGTTTCTTTTAGTATGGAAATCTTTTCTTAGGTTTTTTACAATGATGGTATCATGCAGTATTTCTCTTTTTGTGACTGACTAATTTCACTCAACATAATGTTCTCAAGGTTCATCCATGTTACGCGGTAGCTTGCAGCTTCCTTGTTATTTATTCTTCAAGGTAGCATAATATTCCATTGTGTGTATGTACCACAGTTTATCCATTCTTCAGTGGATGGGCACTTAGGCTGTCTCCATCTTTTTGCTATTGTGAATAATGCTGCTATGAGCATTGATGTGCATATATCTACTTATGTTCTGGTTCATATTTCTTGTGGGTAAATACCAAGTAGAAGGCTTTCTGGGTAATGTATTTCGAACTTTCTGAGGAAGCACCATACCATTCTCCAGAGTGATTGAACCATTTTACAGTCCCACCCACAATGTAGAAGGATCCCAATCTCTCCACACCCTGCCAGCATTTGTTTTCTATTTTTGTTTTAACTTTGTTGTTCATGCTGGTGTCTCGAGATGATATCTCATTGTTGTTTTGATGTCCATCTCTGTAATAGTTAATAATCCTGACTGAGCATTTCTTCATATGTTTTTGGCTGCCTGAATATCTTCCCTGATGAAGTGTCTGTTCATGTCTGGTGCCCATTTTTTAAATTGGGTTGTTTGTCTTTCTTTTGTAGAGGTGTTATAGTTTTCTATAAATTTTAGAGATTAGTCCAGGGTCTGATATGTCATTGCAAAAATTTTCCCTAGTCTGTGGGCTCTCTTTTTGCTCTTTTGGTGAAATCTTTTGATGTACATGAGTGTCTAATTTTCAGTAAGTCCCTGTCATCTATTTTGTCTTCTATTGTTTATGTGTGTTTTGCAATGTTTGATAGCCTATGTATGCCATGTATTAGAGCTCCTAAGTCTGTCCCTGTTTTTTCAGTGATGATCCTTATAATTCTGGGTTTTCCATTTAGGTCTTTAATCCATATTGAGTTTGTTTTTGAATATGGTGTGAAATATTGGTCTTCCTTCATTCTTTTGCAAATCAGTTTCCAGTATTGCCAGCACCATTTCTTGAAGAGACTATCTCTTCTCCATTTAAGAGAATGGTTTTGGACCTTTGTCATAGATCAGTTGACTGTATGTGGATGGATTTA